TATATATATATATATATATAATATATGGCTATGAAGATTTCAGATTAATAACATAGATTAATTCTGAAATTTATTCCCTACATCATTTTGTCAATTTCCAAATAAAATAAAATTTCCAGCATACCTTGTGGCAGTATATTAAACTGATTAGCTGGATCCATAGCAAAACCATCCTTAAATGTCTGATTATCCTGCGAGTAACTGCCAATATTTGGTTGCTGATTTTGCTGGAATGGTGTCTGCATTTCATTGCTATTTGGTACTGGATGCATCGGTATGTTAAATGATACTGTAGTTGGTGGAGGTGCCAATTGCGAAATACCCACTGAATTTAAAGGTGGCATGGGAAAATTTATACCAGTGAATTGAGAATTATTTGGTGCTTGCATAGAAGGCATTCCGTACGTCCCATGCGGCTGCTGCACCACACTGGAAAACATTGGAGGAACTATGCCCACTACCGTTGATTGAGGAACTGCAGGAGAAGCTGAAAAAGTGAAACATTTTATAATATAAATGACCATCTTCTGCATGAACAGTAATCAGTGACAATGTATTCTAAAAACTGTCACCAAATCAATAATTTTAATATTAGGAAAAGTTTATCGTTATTTAAAATTAAACATTTAAAGCAGGAATATGATTACGGTCGTAAATAGGTAGATCTGACTGATATTGAGCACCGCTAATATATTGTTCTTGCGATGAATAATATGGCTGTTGAGGCACAACTGTTGATATTCCACCGTACTGATCAAAAGAAAATTAATAGAGATGTGATGGTCAGATGAAAAGTAATAAGTAAATTTTAATAAAATCTGTGGAAAATCTTATGATAAGCAGCTGCAGCCTGATTCAAATTTTTAAAAAAAATTATCTACACAGATTGCAAAGAGTCTGATTGAAAAGATTTTGCAAAACCAAATAAGATATTTTTTATCAATCAAATTATAATCATCTTGTTTTTCAAGAAATTAGATTTTCACATCTAACTGATTCTAACTGATTTTCAGTTACCTAAAACCATGTTTAACTAAGTAATAAAATGAAAATTGCACTAGTTCTGTTCTCATAGACTGTGTAATCGATGACCAGCAGAAATTATGTGAGATTTTGAGACTAGTATATAACATACTTGTTAACATATTACTTATTTCAGCTACCAATCAAATGTCATTTAAAAACAACAAAACATAGAAACTACAGAAGCAGAACCTGAGTTCCAATAACATCGTCCTTAAAATTGCGTTGCTGCTCAACTGCTTGGTTGATATTTGCATAATTTAGATCACTATTATAAACAGGGAAGCACGGTTCGGGTTTCCCCACTGATGTCGGTATTTCAGTTGTAGGGAACCCAGCTGAGTTTTGTGCATCAATACTTAATCCATTGGCTGGTGGCTCCTATAATTAATGAAATTAAAAGTATTCTTTGAAGGGTAGCAACAAGGATTGAGTATTTTTCATGCATATAAAATTTTCCAATGGAAATTCATCACAGAATTTTCTAATATCTCACATCAAAAAATTTTCGATGAAAGAAAACAAAAATTAAAATAAGATAGATCTAAAAATATTATAAATCAGAAACTTCTTTCAAGCTCAGTTTTAATGCTTGATATCAGCAAAACTGTAAACATGAAAGGCAAGAAAGTATCTGCAAGTAATAACCTTAAAGAGCCACAGTACTAAAAAAATAAACATTCCATAAATATGCATTGACTCTAGTGATCAACATAGCTAGTTAGAAATATTGAGTGTCTTATGGACCATATAAAATAAAATAGATTAACTCGTAAATGAAACTTCCTAATGAAAATTAATGCTGTAAACATCAAATCGTCCACAAAATATAGTATGTAATATAATTTATTAAATTTTCTAACGCGTTTTAAGGATGGTGGAGCAAAAGAACTTGGGTCAGGAAATTTCGGAGCGACTTGTATGGAATCAATTTGCGGTATACCAGTGTTACCTTAAAAACAATGAAAATAAATCAAACATAACCATCCAAACGTAAAATACGTAAAATACGAATTACAATTTAAACGTAAAATACGAATTACTAAAACCTAACTTTGAGCTGAAAACCCCAAATTATTTAGCCTCTAATCTAATTGTTAGATTGAGGATAAACACGATAGTTAAAACAAAAAATTGTTTCTTAAAAAGCGATATGGTGTTTCCCAGTTATTTTTCTCAGTTCAATCGTGCAGTCGGAATTTTTGAATGGAAGGATTCCAGTACCTGGTTGTGGAACAAAAGTATTGTCGCAAGATGCAGAAAACGTCGAAGGAAGCACATTCCCATTATTCATCATAATTCCACTATCCGATGAGCCTGGGACATCCAGCCGATCTTTTAGTATGGCTGCAACTTGCTCACCTCTCAATGGACCTTTTGGATCACCTGGTATGCGATGTAAATAACCGTAACCAATATCACATCCCAAGCAACCCTGACCTCCCCAAGCTGAGTTTGGTGTGAGGGAAACCTGAATATAATATCATGAGCTATACTACATTTTCTCAAGAGATATCATTTTCAATAATTAGATTTGGATGAAACTTAAAAAACTTACTTCTCGTACAGAGTCACTTTCAGTATTATAAACGTACAATTTGATTGATTTGCCTTCATTAGCTTGTAAGTGTACAATAAGATCTTCTGCCTACATAATAAATTATATTAGACTTAACGCGCACAATTTCTACTATTAATTGTGATATATATAATATATATATATATATACAGTTATACAACTGTTCATTCAAGAACAGTATTTTTACTGCATTTTTTGAACTACGTTCAAAAATATTTTTCTATTAAAAAAATAAAAACTTATAACTCATTCTAGAAAAATAAAAGCCCACTAATTTTAATAACAATTTGATTGACCTGTCCAAGTCATTTTTACAGTATTTCGTGCTTCTTTTCTTTACAAACTTAATAATCAGTGTCTTAATTTTTTCTAAATTTATAATGAATCTAAGAAATTCACAATCAACTTTGTAAATACATATTTTCCGATTGTATAATGGTTAGTTTGTAAAATATGCTGTAAAAATGGAATTCGTGAAAATTTGGTTATAAATATTATGAACGTGTACAGAGACCTTTCTTTGAACTTTTCTATTTAGAGAATTGTAAATTGATTTTTGACTTGACAGTTTACTAATACTTAATAATTATGAAATCTGAAGCTTAAGAACCTGATTCAGTACTGATTCTGCACCAAGTATATAATCATTGTTAGCTTGCAAGCCAGCAATTTCTGCCGGCGAATTTGGCTGAACTTGCACAACATGCCAAACATTTTCGCGAGCTCCTTCAAATGAGCAAAAACGAATCGAGATCCCAAGCAATCCTTGACCACCCCACATTTGTGAAGGTATGATTTGTGTTTGCCGGACTGTTTGATTTTTACTACAAGAAGGTCGTAATTATAAGTCGCGCTTGAAACCACTAACTGTCTTCAAAAATACAGCGCATTAAAACTTAGCTGATGACGTGGAGAATGAATGATCAAAGAAAATAATACTAGAGGATTGGTAAGTAGGAAAATTCATGAAAAAGGAAACATGTGAGACTATAATTTGAAGCTTGAATGCATTCAATTTTACCTATTATATACTGTCAACTGCAATGGTCGTTCAACATGTTGTTTGAGGATCTCTTTCAGTGTATCATTGTCGGAATCCTAAAATAAGAATCACCTTTAAATTTTTTATTAATTGATAACAAGCAAAAAAATTTCTAAATCAAACAAAAATTTCACTCGAATCAAAAATAAGAGCTGAAAAGTAAGACAATAAAAGAAAGAAGCTAAATATCCCCTCGATTATCATTTTGTATTTGACCTGTTCAAACTTTCCAACTAAAAAAATACTCATGCACTTCTGGAATGGTAAATTTCCATGAATTAATATCATGCCACATGTTAATTATTATCCGACACTATTCTGACAAATCAGCAAAGTCTGAATATGGATGAAATTTTATAGCATGAAAAGGATCTAGTCCACATTTCAAAAAAGAATGTGGTGGAAATTATCCAGAAGTGACTAATTACAAGTTAATAATCAAAATTTTTTAACGAGATAAAGTCCGACTCAAAATCGTTGAGTCATATTGTTTTAATGTCGCTAAATTATAGTGATAGAATAGTTATATCAAAAATAATTTACCAATCGCGTATTCCCAATGCAAACAATAAAATCGAAAAACGGTTCTAATCCAGCAGCTTGCCCAGGAGAATTATCTTGTACCTTAATAACACTGATTCATTTTAAGACAGTTTAGATCTCTGGACAAAATTATCACAAAGTCTCTATAATAAAAGTGAATAATTGAGGATTTCATTAAAATATGACTAAAGCAACACAAAATCTAAGTGATGTTATTTAGCAAATGTGTACAAACATGAACAATACAACAGTTCATGCATCGAAACACAAAGATAAACTGAACTTACCCTCAAAACGTGATAGCCTTCAGTGCCACCACCGGGAATCTCTGTACTAGCAGAATTTCCCATTTCAATCACTACAAATTAAGGACTACTTGATTTATGACTGAAAAAAAATCACTAGTCAATAGTCCTTCCCTCAGGAGGACTCTGCATTTCTTCAAAGCCATACGTACTATTTTTTTTAATCTGGTCAAAACTGTTACAAAAGTAAGCGGAAAAAAGATTTAATAGTGAACAGTAAGCCTAATGCTCTCTACTTTTCAATGTTTATCCAAAAATCACCGGCGGTCCCAAAATCTTCTGCTTCCCACTATAAAACAAAATGTAAGAGTAAAACTAGAGTACTAGATGAATTTTTGATTTCTTTTGAATATCGAATCAATAAATCCAATCACAATAACCAGAATCTCAGAGTCATAACTAGTTACTGCAAAGATTATCACTTATGGCAAATTAATTTGCTGTAAATATTAAATCTATTGATTGATTATGCGGAAGAAATCAAAAATTCTTCATTCACGGTTTCACTTCTCTCAAATCATTTCCCATCCTTTTATTCCCTTCCCTCTTTTCTTCTTTTCTTCTCTAACCCATTAACCACAAGCTCCACTCTGCAGTTTCATTCTACCAAAATCTAATAACCTATCAAACTTCAAATGTAGCAATCACAGCAAGCAGTGATAACACTGCAACCATCATGTCACTCTTGTTAACAGATTTCACGGTAATTGACTGCTTCAATTTAATGCTGCTAATATATGCATTTATTTCTTGGCACTTTGCCAGTAATAATCTGATTGGTATGAATTAGTTTTGTTGTAATTCAGTGCAACATCATCAGGAGTCTTTTCGACTTTATTCACAGATTTGCAAATCTTGGCAAGTCTTGAGAGTGGTCTACAATTTTGTACCTCAAACGTCGTAGTAATAAATGATTTAAATATTCCGTGAAAAAAAACAAAAGAACAGTGGATACGTGTCTACGACATTTTGCTAGTAACAATTTTATTTGTTTTTTAGTTTAGTATGAAACTGTATAGGATATTTCAGTTTCTCTGATGGTTTTTAATGTAATATTTATAGTGTGAAGTTTCTGACAGAGAAGTTTTGTATTGTAAGAAAGCGCGCGGACTCTTATCATAGCCAGAGTGAATGAACTTATTGAGAAGCACATGCGCGTTAATTCTGTAATGCTCTGTGAGTTTTTTAATGAAATTATAACCAGTAAATCTTTAATTAAGGTATAGCGGACGTATTGTATAGAATAGTTTCAAATATTCATGATGGAATTGCTTCAAAGCTATGAAGGCAGTAGTGATGGTGCTTCATCTGATGCAGATGATGAGATACTTTATCATAAACCTATCACATTAGAAAATTGCCAGTCGCTTGCTTTGAGTGCTTCTGCTTGTGAAATTGCACCACAAGTTGCAACAAAATTGGATGTTGGTGGTTTACGTTGTGTAGATCCACAAACTAAAGAACTTCATTACAATCCTAAATATGAAGAACTTTTCTTGCCAAAAGTATGACTTTTTTCGTTTTTGCTTGAAAGATTTTATTTCATATCATTTCGTTTTTTAATCTTTCATTATTGTCACTTCTCGTTAAGTATTCTAGCATTGTTTTACTTCTCATAACATGTTATGATTTGAGGTAGGGCCACTAAATCCGTTTAAATCCGCTAACGAGAGAGCGACGAAAAATATGCTGACGGGATATGTAGAAACAGCGCATGTAAATAATTTCCAATTCGAACAGCAAATTAGATCCTTTGATACATTAGGATATGCTCGTGATCCATCTGCCGATCAATCAAATCAATTTATTGGTGATGTAGAGAAAGTACGACTTTACAAAATTTATTCAAATAGCAGAAATTGCACAGTTTTAAACATTAAAAATTCAAATTCTATTTATATTTCTAGTTGACTGCGTTACTTCATGTTCCAGGCTCAAGAATCTCAGGGTGCTAGTCTTTTCGAAGGTCAAAAGACAGGTGGACAAAAGCGTAAACGAAAAAAAAATATGGATTCAAGTGATGTAGAAGGATATACTGGTATCATTTTTTCGTTTCGTGCAAATACTTACGTTTCAAAAAGGTTTGCGGGAAAAATTTATTGCCATTTCTATTTTTCCTCGTTATTGTATGATTAAACAGATTTTCTATAGGACCATGGGCGCGATTTGAAGATGAAATAGAAATTGTTAGACCAGATCCAGAGTTAGCAAAGGAACTGGAGGAAATTGTTAAAAAGCGACAGAAAAATAGCCGAGCAGGTCGGAAAGCAGCACAGCAGCAAGAAGCGCTTGTCGATGAATCTTCAACATTGCATCGTATGGTTTTTAGTACTGATATAGTATATAATGTTTAGTGATGTTTCATAACCGATTTAGGTTTGCTCAAATTTGTATTAGTCTTCTACGCATTTCAGTGAAAGAAATGGAGGATTATCTAGGACGTTCATTCATGCATGCCCCACAATATATTGGCGTGAATTTGCGTGAAGATCATGTTCCGGAGCGTTGTTTCATTCCAAAAAAACATATCCATACATACCGTGGCCATAATAAAGGAATTAATTGCTTACGGTGGTTTCCCAGGAGTGCGCATTTATTCCTCAGTGCTTCTATGGATAGCAAGGTTTTTTGATAAATTATTGAAATTTTAAGTATTTTTACATTGTTCACAACACCTATGCGAGATTTTTAATACTTTTAATATTTGAATATCATAAAGGTTTGAACTTTTCAAATAGTATTGTGTTAAGGTGCCTAAGCTTCTGAAATTTTTTCGTAAAGGTTCTGAGATTTCAGATGTCTTTCAGAAATCGTTTAAAATTATAAAAAAAATTGATTTCAGATTAAATTGTGGGAAGTATATGGGAAAAGAAGTGTGGTAAGAACTTACTCAGGGCACAAAATGTCGGTGAAAGACGTCGCTTTTAACAATAATGGGACGGAATTTCTGTCAGCTTCCTTTGACAGATACATTAAATTATGGGATACTGAGACTGGTAAATGTTCCTCCATGTTATTCGATAAATTATTTGTAATTTGCACCAATGGTTCAAGATGGGAAAGAGGAAGAGGGGTTTTCAAATACGTCGCACTATTGAATTTCATAAATATATAAGTATTTTGTGAGTAATGTGTTCTATATTATTTGAAGCGATAAAGATTTTTACAGGTCAGGTTAAACGAAGATTCCACACGGGTCACATACCATTTTGTGTGAAATTTAATCCTGATGAAGATAAACAAAATATGTTTTTGTCTGGTATGCAAAATAAAAAAATTTTGCAGTGGGATACGAGGACGGGAGAAACTATTCAAGTAATTTATTGTTTTTGATGGCTTATACTTAATACACAGATTTAAAAAGTGGGATTTCAATACCTGTTTTTTTATTTCAGGAATATGACCGCCACTTGGGTATTGTCAATTCAATAACATTTTTTGATAAAAATCGGAGATTTTGTTCAACTTCTGATGACAAATCTATACGAATATGGGAATGGTCAGATTAGTTGTTTATAAAATTTTTTAAAAAGTTTTGCCTTCCGTCTCTTTTTAACTCCAATTTCGCTGCATAGTTTATTAGTAATACTTAATGTATTTTGATTATTTACTATTTTATAAAGGCTACTACTCATTATTTTGGTTAACAAAAGCAGCGTATACTTGAAAATAGTATTCCCATAAATCTGTACATTTACTCTAGTATAAGTCAGACAATTTGATGTAGCATTTAGAACTGGTCATTAATTTCAGGGAAATTCCTGTTGACACAAAGCTTATTCAGAATGCCGGCTTGCACTCAATTCCAACGATGACAAAATCCCCTACAGGTGAAGTAGTGTGTAAAAACCAAATTTGTTTTATTCAATTTTGATTTCTTAGAAACTTGACGCGTTTTATTTTTTAGAGAAATGGATAGTAGGTCAGTCGATGGATAATCGTATTGTGTTATTCCAATTAATTGACGATAAATTGCGGTTTGCTAAGAAAAAAGCGTTCAAAGGACATAATGTTGCTGGTTACGCGTGCTCCGTTGATTTCTCTCCAGATATGAGGTTTGGACCATGAAAATTTGATTTCTTAATTTTTTATCTTCTAGATTTTTTCTCTTTTTTGTCAAATTTTAGCACCTGATGTAATTTTATAATATCGAAAAGACTTTCAGCTTTTTAACATCCGGTGATGCAGATGGTAAAGTTTTTATTTGGGACTGGCGAAATCATAAAATTGTCGCAAGGTGGAAAGCACATGAAGATTGCGTTATTGCAACGTTGTGGCATCCACATGAAACTTCTAGGTTGGTTACCGGAAGCTGGGATAATGTGATTAAGATGTGGTCGTAAATAAGCTGTGTTGAATATGCTAAAAATATGTTTTTACAGAAAAAAGGATTAAAGCGCTTAAAGATAATAAAATGATGAACTGAAACTAAGTGTTGTGGTGTACATTTTTATCGAAAACAATTTATTATCTTAATTCTACCATGCAGTTATTGAGTAAACAAATTGTGACATAAGTTAAAACTTGAATATTGTGAGAATTGTTTCGATCAGGTGATAGCGAGCTTTGTTGTATTGATTTGTTGCACATTATTTTGTATCGTTTTGAAATTATTGAGTTACAATCTGTAAGTATTGTCGAAGACCTACTTTTTTGACTTGTGTTCGTAAGAAATAGAAAATAAAAAAGTAGATAAGGGTGCATGATAGTTTTGAAGAAATGGTGGCTTTTACTTCGTTATGCTACTGAAGATATAGTTTTTTAACATTGAAACGATCATCTTTCTATGGTCTCGAACTTAAATTACTGTATTGTTTTATTTAAAAAAATTGGATTTATCTCTCTATTGACGTTGTCGTAATTAAGATAAATAAGACTATGTTGAGTCGTACAATTCTGTCAATAGTACGTTCAACAGCAATGTATTTATAGTGAACCTTCTGTTGTTATTGCTATTAAGTTTGTTGTGAAGCCCGAACTTTATTCAAGATTCAGTAGATGACCGACTAGATGTCCGTTTTACGTCGTAGTCATTTCTAAATACGCTACTTAAATGCTACGTACACCAAGTGGAGTTACATACAATGTGTTTCGGTATTATCGAGTTAGGTTTTTGCGTGATTTTAATAAAGACACGGCACTAAAGCTGAGAACAGTTCCAACGAAATGGAAAGGTCGTATTCAGTGGTGGAAGGAACCGTAAGTTATTTTTCAAGTACCAAGTTCAGTTTAAGTTGTCTCTCTCAGTCCTGTACGGAATTTAGAAATTTGGTCCTAGTATTTGTGTTCAGTGTATTATGCTTATTAATTTTTTTCAGCATTTACATCTGTCCACACGTTGATATCTTGCAGAGGGGAGTCGATTTTACTTTTCAAGGTTATTATTTTGAGCAAGGGGCTTATATAAAACTGAGTGAGATGCGCTATTGAAGGTTATTTTGGAATCTTATATCACTGCTGTGAAAATTTAGTGCTTTCTTTGGAATTTAATTTCAGATGGTCGACCTGTCTACGTGACATCATTAGATGAATTGCGAAGAAAGAAAGAGCAAGTTGAATTAGGAGTAAGTGAATCATTTAACATTTGATCTTTAGATTTGTTTTAGTTTGTATAATGATGTTTCTATCGTGATTTTCAGAAGCAAATAGTCAAACTTCTTGGTGAAGTAAATGAAGCAGAAGAACTGTATAAGCAACATTTGAAAATTCAAAAACAAGAGAAGGAAAAATACTTTTCTATTGCACCATCTCCAAAATGTAGCGAAGAAATCTCTTGAAAATGTCAAATTTTTGAAAATTCTCGGTTGTAAATGCAGATCTGATCAGAATTGAACATATTGCTTTTGAAATACGTGTTTTTGCGTTAAAAAAATCGGTATAAGCATGTTTTTGCATTTTAAATTTTCTGAAGGGAAAATTGGTTTATAAGCGCAAATACATATAAACAATGATTTTTCCTTCTTACTTTGAAAAACTTGTAAATTCAACGGTTCATGAATCAATACTTAATGGTTTTCATGTGTTTCATCGGCCTGACATATTTGTCGATACTTTTCAATAAATGGAACTATCCATCGTGCACAAATTATGTGATTACTAACCGCGAAATCAAGTAAAGCTCTAAAATGAGAAAATTTTATTTCAGAGTCTTATCATATAATGTGCATAAATAATATATCTGTAATTTTTAAAAAGCAAATATTAAAGCATTTTCATTTGAAGTAGTTAATATTAACGGCTGAAATGTAGTTGTATGCAATTGTTTTATATTTCCTACAGTTTTGATGCACAGCCCTCCAAACTGCTGACATGCGATGCAAAAGTATGTCTCTAGTGAGAAATTCTCGTGCTACGGAAAATCGTAGTATTATTGTATCAGTTTGCTAATAAGATAAATAAGTACAGTCAAGATTCACTATCACCTTCCATGCTCAGCAGTTTGGAAGGCTGATGTTTACATAAATTCAGATGGATGTAAATAAATTAGTAATGTTTATAGCACTTTATTTTTGGATATGAGCAGATTTTAGCCATTGTCCTTAGTATTTATAACGATCTTACAATTCAAGGATAGCAATGAACAGAAAGTATCACACAAAGTTTATTTGAAACAAAAAGGATTAGCCTGTGGATGTAGAGGTATTGTTCTCGAGTTTGTACAGAAAGCGCACGTTTTCGACGTATAAACGCAACCATCTCTGGTACAATAAGTTCTTTACCGGCTACCAACTGCATTAAACATAGTTCAATAGCAACCAATGTACCACTACGACCTACTCCAGCACTGCAGTGTACTACGGTGCAAGTGGGCGACACTCGGGACTTTTTTAGCAAGTAGAAAGGTGTTTTGTAGTCATTTGATGGTACCTACAAACATCAAACAGTGCTAAAGAGGCGGCACCATTTTTTTCAAAAATTACCATAAGGTACAGAAGAAACGTTATAACTAATTTCGAATATTTCGTTTCTTTTTTTTCAAAAAGTTAAGACTGAGAGTCTGTCTTTAAAGGAAAAGAATTGGTAATTCATGTCTCACACTTCTTTCTATAGTATTTAAGACCGAATATCGACGCTACCATCTGCCGTAATGTATTTTTCCTGCTACAACAACAACCAAAAATGGCCGAGAAACTTAAACGCAGGCTGTTTAAGTGATATTAATAGAGGGCTGAAGTTCTTACCTGATGATCTGCCCAGGATATCCATTGGTAATGCATTACGGTAAGATTCACATCTTCGCGACTGAGTAATAGCTGCGTCATGATAACATTACCACTTTTTGATCTATTTCGCTCCCGTAATTCAATCCTAATTCCTGCATGTATGACGATGCGACTTCGCAAGCTGAAAAAAGAAATAAAGCAACATTTAAAAATTTTTAGCTAAATTCCCAGGAATTATTACTTTAAAAACCTTACATTACATAACTATTACATTTGCCACAGAGTCATGGAAATATTTTGAATCATGATATCGTTTGCACAATTTTATGAATTCATTTTATAATTTCCAGATTGTTTTTAATTTGCTTTCATCCAAATCAAATATATTTGCATACTGATAAAGTGAACATTTTGCTTTTCATACTGATTTGCATAGAGATAAATTAATTATTATCCTTTGAAAAAGTAAGCATATTAGAAACACACGTTGGTAGGTACTCAGCACATTTCATTTTTTGATCTTCAACAAATTTACAAAGCATAAATATGAGACCAGAACGTTCTTGCCAAACCATTTGCCAGAAATCAGCTACAGTGTTCGGCAGAGGACCCTGTTAGCATAAAAGTGCTTGGTGCAATATAAAAAGAATCCATTGCGACCAGATATAATCCTTGTTTAATTTTATACCACTTCATGCGGTCACAATAATAATTAAATTAATAATTATATGCATATACACTTAACATTTGACTACTACGTTATTATTCAATTAGCAAATTGTCGTATTTTTTAAAATTTACTCATTTGATCGGTAAGTATGGGAATATACAGTGAGGATAAAAAAGTAATTTATGCATAGCTTATTCATGATAATATATAAGAAATCCTTTAATTAGAATAATTTACAGTATTACATTATGAATTACTTAAAAGTAAAACTATCAATTCGAAAATTACTTCATACTTGGATATCATTGAGATGTGAAAAATATAGAAAATAGAATCTTACTTGCGTCAGGATGAAAACATTTTGAAGAACTCTATGTCGGATATAATTAGCATGAATGTAATCACTGCCATGACGACGTAAGATCACTCTACTACTATCCAAGCAATATATATCTTAAACTAAGAACTTTTAAACTTATACATCTTAGATTAATAACTTTCAAACTTTTCGAATTAAGTTTAAATCGAGAATTACGAATTGAACTTGATTTTATCAAATTGAGAATTAAGAGTTAGCATTTATCAAATCAGTGAATAAATTAATATACAGTTTGTTTTGTTAAGAGATATATTTGGCTCTTTTCTGACTTTTCATTTATAGTCTTACATTTTACGATTTAATCTTTAATTTAACTTAATTTAAGTGTAGATGTATATTTTGTGAGCACCAGAACTCACCAACATAACGATTTTTCTCATGATTTACCGGTAGCATTCCAAGAAAAGCTTTTGCTTTAGATGGCTTTATTGCTTGAAGTTGTTCATATTGTGCAAGCAGTACTTCTAGTGGTGTGTTTGTGCACTAGAAATTAAATTTCATGCTTATTCAAAAATTTTTTAGTTATTTTACTTTGCTTATATTCAGATTGCGCTTTGAAGTAATTAATGAAAAATTTATCTAATTTTTTTGTTAGTAATACGACGT